TGAGGCGGCGCCAGGCGGCCCTCAGCCCCCGACCGCTGCGCGCGGCCTCCACCCGAGTGCGCGCCCACGACGCTCCGCCACTCGCTCCCGCGCTCACCTGCCCGGAGCCCCCACAGCGCGCGTTTCAGGTCCGCTCGCAGCTGGCTCCGCGGCTGGCTCCCAGAGCGCAGCGGCACCTCTGCGCACGCGCGGCCGGGTCGGGGCGCCGTGGGGCATGCTGGGGATGGCAGTTCCAAGCGGGCGGGTGTGGACGGCGCAGACTTCCAGGCCTGGGTTTCTTCCCTCTGGCTTCGCGGAGCCAGCAGCTGCGGGTTATTTGGAGCAGTTAGGATGGTGTCTACACAGACGGCCAGAAAGTGGCCTTTCTGGCAGGTGCACTGAACCCGCCTCCAGGCCAACTTAATCTACCCTACCATCAGACACAGGCCCTGAGGGAAGGCACTAATTAGTTGAGGTCACGCCCAAGAAATTCTCCCAAGCAAACAGGATGCACTGCTGAAGCCTGAGGACCTGCCTTTGAGTCTCTTATATTAACATTTAGCGCATCCATAAAAAGGGACTGGAGAGATGGCTCAGTGGTTAAGAGCACTGACTGCTCCTACTAGAGAGGACCTGGATTCAGTTCCCAGCGCCCACATACAAACAGCTAACAACCATCTGTAACTCCAGTTCCAGGAGATTCGACACCCTTGACTGACCTCCACAAGCTTTGCGCGACACAGGTGCACTTACACACATGCAGGCAACACACTCATACACATAAATTAAAAAATAAAATATTTACACAAAAAGATAAGTTCAGTTCACAGCACCCACATGGCAGTTAACAGCCAATCTGATGCTCTCTTCTGGCATTGCACACACGGTGCACTTACCTGCATGCAGGCAAAACATTCATACACATGAACTAAAAATAGATAAATATTTAAATATATAAAAAAATTATAAAGAAAAATGTAGTATTTGAGGGGCTGGATGGCTCAGTAGTTAAGAGCACTTACTGTGATTCCAGAGGACCTGGGTTTTGGTTTTCAATACCCACATCAGGCAGCTTACAACAGTCTGTAGCTCCATCCAGTTCCAGGGGTTACAAAGGCACTCGTGTGGTGCACATAAACTTACACAGGCACATACACATAAATAAAAATAAATTTAAAAAGAAAATTTTAATACTTGAATATTGTTTAACCATGTTAAGATTTTGCAATGTGTCTTTTAAAAATCCTGTAATACCTGTATAAAGCTCCTTTCAGCACAGACACCACAGGCTTTTGCAATAAATAACTGCCATTTCACTTTTGTCTACCTTTCCTATAGACTTAAACAGGGAAATGAAAACTTGTCAATGCTATCAACAAATATAACCCCAGCCCTTCCCTGGCACTGCAATGGATCATTTATCAGAGATCAAAACTGGGTAGGTCTGAAGGCCAGAGAATAACAAAGAGCAAATGCTTCCCTTTTAAGGAACAGTACACTGATTCAGTGGCTAAGAACACTGACTATTCTTGCAGAAGACCCAGGTTCAAATCCCAGGACCCACACTTCGGCTAACAACCATCTGTAACTCCAGTTCCAGGGGATTTGATGCCCTCTCCTGTCCTCCTCAGGCACTGCACAACATGGGTGCAACTTACATACATGCAGGCAATACACGCATACACCATAAAATTAAATAAATAAAATATTTGAAAAAAGAACTCTACAAACGTGTTTTGGCTACATTAGTCAGAAAACAGAAGGGAGAAAGAAAAAATGGAAAATAAAGTTTTTAGGGGCTGGAGAGATGGCTTGGCTGTTAAGAGCACTTACTGCTCTTGCAGAGGACCCAGGTTTGTTTCCCATGACTCACATAGTGGCTAACAACTGTCTATAACTCCAGTTCCAGGGGATCTGACACCTTCTTCTGGTTTCCTCAGGCTAATCCTAGCACTCAGGAGGCAGAGGCAGATGGATCTCTGTGAGTTCGAGGCGAGCCTGGTTTACACGGTGAGCTCGAGGCCAGCCAGGGCTACATAATGAGACCCTGTCGATAGATAGATGATAGATAGATAGATAGATGATTGATAGATAGATAGATAGATAGATAGATAGATAGATAGATAGATAGATAGATAGATAGATAGCACTAAATAAACAGGAAAGTCAACACCCAAGTAAAGGCCCTTTTTGATTCTGGCATTGCCAAATGGTTTTGGTGCCAAATGGGGCCATGTGTAATGACATAATTCAGCCAAGCACCTCACAGGTGGGAAAACCAGCATCTGCTTCAGAGAGTAAATATGAGATGTTTCACAAGTTAAAACCAAAGAACAGGATGGAGTTCCTTTAACTAAAAAGTTGTACCGTTTCAAAAGCACCTTTACTCAGCGTAACCCACAGAACCTCACATATGTTCAGATTTTGAATTACGTCCAGCTTAGTGTGGAGGGTAGGCTGCTTAGTTTTTGTCAGCTTGACACAAACAAGAGACACCTGAGGAATGTCCTCTGTCAGATTGCCCTTGGCCATGTCTGTGAGGCATTTTCTTAATTGCTAATTGTTGTAGGTCAGCAACTATGGGCAGTGCCATCCCTGTTAAATTCTCACCTAATTTTTGTTTGGATTTTTTTTTTCTTTTTTGGTCTTTTTGAGACAGGGTCTCCCTCTAGCCCCAGCTGGCCTGGAACGGACCATGTAGACCAGGCCTCAAACTCACAGAGATCCGCCTGCCTCTGCCTCCTGAGTGCTGGGATTAAAGGCGCAGGCCAGCACACTGGCTTGTTTGGAATTTTTGCATTATATTTGATGCTTAGTAATTTATTTATTTATTTATTTATTTATTTATTTATTTATTTATTTATTATGTGTCTGAGGTCTTTTTGAAACAGGGTCTCCCAGTAGCCCAGCTTGCCTGGAACTTTCTATGTAGATAGACTAGGCTGGTCTTGAACTCACTTGCCTGCTTGTGCCTCCCAAATGCTGGGATTAAAGGTGTGCACCACCACTCCTGGTTTAGTAATACTCTTACAAACACACTATCCTAATTAGAACATTTTAGAAAGTTGTCTTATTAAAGTTTAAAAGTATACTAATTTGAAGTTCAAAAGACAGAACTTCCCAGTGCCCTAGAGCCATGGCAGTGAAAGGCCACCTCCTCAGACATAGAAACTGACCGGCAGCCTTTGTGGCTCATCTGCTCTCCACTCTCACATTTAAGCCTACTATCGAGTGCCCCAGGCAGTCCCTTGTGGGGATTAAGAACACATGCCTCTGCAGTGTTTCCTTTTAATTTTTTCTTTTTGAGACAGGGTCTCCTTGTAGCCTCAACTGGCCTGGAACTTGCTATATAGACCAGGTTGGCCTCCATCTCACAGAGCTCTGCCTGCCTCTGCTCCCCCAGTGCTGGGATTAAAGGTGTGTGCCACCATGCCTGGTTCTTTTAAATTTTTAGAAGTTTATTTGTAGTTTTAGTGTATAAGGGGTTCGCCTGTATGTATGTAAGTACATTAAGTGCATGTAGTGCCCAAGGAGGCCTGAAGACGGTGTTGAATGCCCTGTAACTGGAGTTACAGATGGCTGTGAGCTGCCGTGTGAGTGTTTGGAACTGAACCTGGGTCCTGTGCAAGAGCCACTAGTGCTCTTAACCACTGGGCCATCCCTTCAACTCCATCTACAATAGTTCTTAAAGATGCTGTCAAAGCCAGGTGTGGTGGTACAAGCCTTTAATCGCAGCACTTGGGAGGCACAGGCAGCTTGTGAGTTCAAGGCCAGCTAGGGCTACAGGGACACCGTCTCAAAAAGACAAAAGATGCTGTCAAACTTCACTCTCTCCTAGGCTGGAATAGCCTCAGTTTTATACCAGTACAAACACCAAACTTGCAGAGTTAATTAAATCAGAATCTGACAGGCCTGATCAAGTATGGCTGTTTTAAAGCTGACAAACCTCAGACCAAAATAACACAGAAAACTTTGCAGTTGTTTTTACTTGCACCAAAGTTTACTTCTAACTTGGCCTTTGTCCAAATGGTCACACACAGCTCACCTAGTCCTCTGATGTGCTGATCTTGAAAATCCAGTCAGCACTGCAGCTCAGTTTCTTGTGTTTGGACTTTTCTTTTCCATTTATTTGTTTAGTGTATGTGTGTGTGTGTATGTGTGTAGGTGGGGGTGCTGTATGCCATGGCTCTCCAGTGACACAGCTGACTGCTTTGGGTCAGGATCTCACTTTACCCCAAGATGGTCACAAATTAAGTAGTTAAGGATGAACTTGAACTTCTGATCATCCTCTACTCCCTCCAGTGCTGGGATTACAGGTGTGCCCCATTGCACCTGGTTTATATGGTAACAGGGATCAAACCCAGGGGTTTGTACATGTTAGGCGAGCACTTTATTTTTATATGTATGAGTGTGAAGTGCATCTGTGTCATGCAATGCCCATGGAGGTCAGAGGAGGGTTTTGGATTCCCCTGGAACTGGAGTTAAGGATGGTTTGTAGCCGCCATGTGGGTGCTGGGAATTGAACCCGGGTCCTGTGCAAGAGCAGCCAGTGCTCTTAACCGCCAAGCCAACCCTCCAGCCCCTCAGTCT